AATAATAGTAATAATAATAATAATAATAATAATAATATAATGCTATAATAATGTTGTACCAATTATATTATTACTATATATATGTTGATTGAAAAACTATGGGCTCGTTGGTATAGGGACAGCAAAAACCCGAGTTGTTACTTTCAAGAAAAGAAAGCAGATGGCAGTTGACGACCCACAATTGCAGCATATACATACACAGTGGCCTGGAATGCCACGTTTATATATTTTTACATCAAATTGCAAGAACTTTCAACTTCGCTATCGGAAATGGAATTATGCAATGACTTGGCTATTATTTCTCTATCCACGTTTACTGCCCAAGAACTTGGCACTGCCAATAGATCTTCCTCGTGTGTTTGGCCTGTTTCAAGATTAGGTGATTGAATACCTGCACGTGAAACCTCTTCACAGGCTCTATCAATTACAAGCCCAACATTCTTGCTTTCTCAATAGGCCCCATACTATTTTTTTTATGAGCCCGGCCGAACTATCAAGAACAGTAGTTTGCCCAGTAACTATCTTTGGAGTCTCATTTCCCACCTCTTTTAAATCCTGCATGTGATGAATATCATTATGAGCTGTAAACATGTGTGTTCCCTTTCCCACATTAATCCCGCCGCCTCTACTAATTGCTTTCTTAATTTTATCATTCTTGTATGTTCCCTGCACCTTTCCAATGTTCTTTTCATTTAACGTTTCACTGTCCTGAGTAAATGAACCTGATTCTTCACCATGTTCCGGCCACAAGTTCGTTGGAATCTTCTCAGACGAATCTCTAGATGAGGCCTGGTTAGATTCATCCTCATCCATCTTTCCTTCTGAACTTGATCTCTGCTTCAAGCCAATTCCTCATGTCTTGTGAATAAACGAATTGTCCTTCAAACATTACTCAACCACTCTGACTCCAAATTTTGAGTTGCCAACAACAATATCAACTATCTCGTCAATCCTTGAGATTGTACTAGTTGAAACAAGAATTGAAACCTTTTCGCAATCCAGTTGGAGATTCAAGTTTTCTCCGAATGCTTCAAGTTTCCCTTATAACTCAGCGATCCTTTTGAGTGTTATACTATTCCAGCAGTGAAGGGGTAAGCCTTCCACCTCCAACCAAGTTGATCTCTCTTGTGGTAATGCCTCTTCAGACCATAATATGATCTCTGAGAAAATATCTTTTAAATATAACCATTGTAGATCTTCTAATAGAATAAATAGGTCCTCGTCCTCAAAGATGAGAAGGAACGATTGACCTCTCAGTCTCTTCACTTTGATTTCTCCTAATCCACATTGTTGCGATCTTGTTTCAATGCTGCTCACGCTACGGACGATAGTCATTTCTCCAATTAAGCATTTCCTTGCCTTCAAAAGATCTTTATTTTCCACATGCCCCAAAATGCTCTTTCTCTTCTCAATCTTCTGGGAATTCAGCCTCTCTAGCCCCACATCAAGGTTCTCTGACTTCTGAACGTTTCGATTTTCCTGTTCCTCATCTGGCGCCTGCCCCAAATCTGGATTAGTTTTTTCCATTCCCTTTTGATTCCCCGCCGATTTCCATGTCTGCCCAGCTCTATATGGAGACTTGTTTTTTATTCTTGCAAACGTCACTGACATTCTAAACCCGAATACCTTAAGGCTATTCAACCTCTCCATAAGGCTGGAGCTATACGGGATTCCTCTGCAGTGTTGGAATGGCGAAACTTTCAAGAGAATAGCAGCACTTTGGGGTTCTTTTGAAAGTCTTGGTGAAAATGCAAATAAGATCATAGATGGAGAGAAAGTGACAGTGTTAATCACTACCAACCATGAGAAGAAGATAAACGAAGTGCTGGAGCTGGTGGTGGGTAATAAAACGTTTAAAGTCTCAGTAACGGAAAAGGTTTTATGGACACCTCTTCTATACCAGAAAACCAATACAAGCAAGCCAAATCTCCATTGAAGGTGAGCTAGCTCGTCATCATAAGAAGAAACTGTTAATTCTTGTAAGTTAGATGCGGAGGCGATGAGCTCGAAGCAGCAAGATCTAAACTCAAAGGAGATCCATTTGTTGGGATTGGAGTTGAAAGACAGTGAATCGGAGAAAAGAATTTCTGATGAGAAGGTGGAGAAGATGAACAGTCCGGAAGACATCCACACGGGAATCGATGAAACCATTAATGCAGCGTGCATGGAAGGAAACCGAAATGATTGTTACAACGCTAAAAAGGAAGATGATTGAATGAAAAGTGGGTCAGAGTGTGTAGGCCTTAGGTCAGAATTGTCTCCTGATGGCTGCAAGATCCAAGAAGGAAGGGGAAGAAACTCTGTATCAAACTTTGTAGTCAATAATCTGATGGATGTCCAGGTGGCAGATGTAGATCTGGCTGCTGTGAAGGAATTTTCTACAGATGGGCTGTTGCTTCTTAATGACAGGACATTAGAGGATTTGTCTAATTTGGGATGTAAACCCAAGGATTTAACGGGTTCTAATGTCAAAAACCAGGCAAATCTAGTGGGGAAGTGTGATGATTTTACAAGGGGTTTAATAGATCGGAAGCAAGGATTGAAGTAGAAGACTTGTGCCACGCAGATGATTCAGAAGTAGAGCATTTTTTCTAGATTAAAACAACCGAATATTAAAAGGCACAGGAAGCGTGGGTCTCTTTACACATCCAGGACAAGGTTCTTTCGACTGCTGAACGAAGAAAGAGAGATCGTGCGCCGAAGAAGAACAAAATGAAGAATTCTGTTTTGGGTTCTTCCGAACTTTCGGAGCGATCTTTATCTGACCCTGATTTAAAAAAAACGGTGGTTATCTGCGACCTTAGAGGCGGAGAAGACTCTTTCGGTGGGAAAGAAACTTGGTATCCAAGTGATCGGTGATAAAAAGGAGTTTCTTAAGGAGTTAGCGCTGTTGGAGATGAGTTGATTTAAATGAGCAAGTTTTGGGGGTTGAACGCACAGTTCTCTCGGTTGAATGAGATTCCTTTTATGGTAATTAAGGGGGTTTAATGAGAACGTAAATTTTGATCGTCGTGTCTTCTGTTGAGGATTATAAAGTGAAATAATTTCTTCTTTCCTATTGTGGTTTATTCTTGGGGCTTCGTTGGTGCTTGGGTTAAAGCGATTTTCAGAGGTAAGCTAGCTATCCGGTTCGAGTTTTCTTTTTTTGACAGGAATCTGGCGTCATTCAGGGAGTCGGCAGGGTGGTTCGCGATAGTTGGTGTTTCAAAGCCGGAGATTTTTAAAGGTTGTGGTGCTTTGACATCTTCTTCTTATTGTTTATAGTGTACGTGAGAGGGATTTGGGTAGTCACAAAATTCCTAGTTTGTAATTGTTGTTGGAGGGTTAGAGATTGAGTAGTCAGACTAATTTGTGAGTGCAGCACTATCGTGTGATTTGGAAAGATAGTTGTGTATGGAGGAATGTTATTTGGGATGAATTTAACATCATGCGAGCCGATTAAAGCTTTTCTTTTTCTGGTTTTCTCCTTGTGTCGCGTCCTTTAGGAGTTTGAAAGCGTCCAAGGATTTCTTGCAGATTAATGTGTCAAGGTGTTGGCCCTTCGACTATTAAGCAAAAGCGATAAGATCAAAGCTAATTTGAATAGGGTGGAAGTGTAAATCTCTTAATTCATATCAGGAGCTTGTAAATGAGAGCAGGAAGTATCGTTGTGAAATTGTAAGTTATGCTTTTTTGGCCATGAAGCAACTTGGGAGGCTCAAAAAAATTTCTTTTGCTCAATTTGGAAGCTTTTGCCTCCTGTCGTGCTAAGGTTGAGAGGCTATGTTTGCATTTGGTTAGAGAAGAGTCCCTGAAGTGCCGGGTTGTGTAGTTAGTTTTGAGGTCTAATTCCAAGGTTATTGTTGCTCTGCTGTTCGTTCAGCATTAAGGGGTTTCTCTTCAGCGGTATCCCAATGGTTGTCGTTTTAAAGTTTGTTGGCACAAAGTGTTTGATTTTAGTCGATGGTTTTTTTGGGTTCGGGATAGAGCGAGTCTGGTTGGTTAATCAACTCTGGTTTTTCGGAGTCTTTGGTGGTTCTTTTGAATCGGAGGCTGTACTTTGCTTGGTCAAGAGAGAACCTCCATTGGTTGAACTCCTTTTGATCGTGTCCTTGATTTTGGAAGGTGTGAAGAAATGTCCATAGTTGTTTCTGTTGGCAGCAGCTCTAAGGACGTGCTGGATTGTTTTTTATCCGAGATTTAGTAGAACTTCCTGTAAAGGAGTATGAAGAAATCCTCTGAATTGTTAAGGGAAGGAGCTTTGTTTATATAGATAGGATGTTTCCCCAATTGATTCATGTTGTGGTCGAGGTGGTTTATGGGAGTAAGGTAATCTGTTGGATGGTTTGTTTAGTGTGACAGTGGTTGGTATGGTAGGTGATAAGAGGTAGAATGATGTTCAGATTCTGTTGTATGCAGTAAGCTGTTGTTTTCTATAGCTATAAACGTTTCTAGGAGGGTGGATTCAACACCAAAACTTTGGTTAGTCGGAAGTTCAGTGATCTTGTTTAGTATGGTGCTATGTTTTTCATTATCGGGTCTGGTTTTGTCTTGTGTATAGGCGTGGTTTTGTGGGGCTGCAGTGTAGTTTTCTTGACTTTTTGTCGCGATATCATTAAGAGGTGCTGTATACTTTTTTCCCTCTAGATTTAAGTAGGTTTTTAATGAGATTATTACTTAGGTTTTTATTTATTTTAATAAAATTTCTCTTTACGAGCTAAAAAAATGATGTACAAGCATAATCATGCATTTCTATTCTCAGTTAATTAAGTGATATAAAATATTATTTTCATTGGAACAAATCTCATATTAATTAATCATATCTCACTAAATAGATCTTTTAAGAATAATTATATTATTTTTAAAATGTTATTATTGTTCAATTAATTTGCATATTTACAAAAAACTGAAATAACAATGTATTGTATTAATAAACGAGGTAAAAATATACTATTACAATCATCTTATAATTAATCTTTAAACATACTATAATACATTTTATATTCTAAATTAAGCTCAAATACTAATAAAAGTCAAAGACATCGAAAAAAAAAAACTACATATTAGAAAAAACTCCTCTGCAACATGATACGCTCCATCATACGAGATTTAGCTATTGCCCCTAGCTGTGACTATGGCACTCTCAAACATACCTGAACTAACACGCTTGCCAACGAACTGTTGTGCAGCATCCATATATACCTGAGAGATTTTAGATATCTCGTACTGCTCCACTTTCGCAGCACTCAATTGAGCTTTCAAATTGAATATCCTTGAATTCACATTATCCAGCTTTATGAGCCGCATTGCACCATCGTAAGCTTTGGCAATTTTCTTTAAGTGTTCCATTGCAAAACCCACATTAAAATTCATGCGTAAAGCATCATTGATTACATCTCTCCACTTCAATATCTGATCTTCGGTTATTTCTTCGAACTGTAAATCCTTCATCTCTTTGATTATAGCACAAAACATTTGATAGATCCCCTGATTACTATCCATATTAAATTTACTTGTGGCAGATATATCACCACAAACTTCGTTGATTTGCTTTGCGGTCTCACATAAAGAGAGTGGGACACTATATTTGCCCACCGTTTTGAGCGGACCATCTAAGTTGAAGTCTTTCAACGTCACTCGACTCACATCATCGGCTTCAATCTTCTTAAGAATGTCAGTCTCAATCGCATTACTAGTCGAAGGAAACTGCAAAATAGGGAAGCATTTTTTTTTAAAGATTTTGTATTTATTTATCTAATCATTTTGATGAAATTGAAGTGGGTACCTTTTCAATCATTGAATTTTGCTTTAACGTCTCATTTTCTAGTTGAAGTGCCTCGTTTTCTAGTTGAACTGCCTCGTATTTCCGTTTAAGTGTCTCATTTTCTTGTTGATGTGCCTCATTTTTCAGTTCAAGTGACTTCATATGGACCGCGATTTCTGCTAACTTTCTTGCCTTAGTTGGCCTTCGTTCTGAGGCCTGCAAGAGTTAATAGGCAACGGGGAAAAGTAAACTATGCTTAAATAATTATTAAAAATTAATTTAATAATAATCTTTTAGCCATGGCATCAATGTAAACGCACCTCGCTGCAACTAGATGCAAGACCATAAGCAATATCCAAATTGCCCTGAAGAAATAAGTAATCCACCACTAATATCATTTTATGATTTAACTAAAAGGGATAACAAAAAAAATAATAGCATTCAAAAAAATAAAACATGACTCCAACTTCGATGGTATTTTAAGTAGAAAATACGAAGATTTGAATATAACTTATAAAACCACAATCAATTTAGGATTATATTATTTTATATTGAGAGGAAATTTTCTGGTAAATTTCATTACCTCAATCTTACTGCGACACATTTTGTCAGCGTTTCTTTTCTTTGCTCTAGCCGGAGTAATTTCAGATTTTCCACTTCCTGATATTGGTGGATATGAAGCTTCAGATGTTTCGGCTTGAGTCTGGTAATTGGAGCCTCCATCGGTCCATTGCTTATAGTTTTTGCTCGAAATGAAGCTTCAGACGGTTCGACTGGAGTCTGGTCCTTTTGAGCCTCCACCAGTCCACTGTTTATAGTTTTGCTCGAAATGAAGCTTCAGATGGTTCGACTTGAGTCCGGTCATTTTGAGCCTCCATCAGTCCACTGTTTATAGTTCTTTCTCGAAATGAAGCTTCATACGGTTCCACTCGAGTCTGGTCGTTTTGAGCCTCCATCAGTCCACTGTTTATAGTTCTTGCTCGAAATGAAGCTTCATACGGTTCCACTCGAGTCTGGTCGTTTTGAGCCTCCAATGATCCACCGATTGTACAAGATAAAGGGGTGACAAGTTCCAAATCCATGAACAGCCAGTCGTCGTGGTTGACTTCATGTCGCATCTCCGAAAATTGAAGTTGTGATTCAGGTTGCGTCTCTGAGTTAAAAATTGGAGCGGACTCATCCGCCATGTTTAGTCAGATGCAGAATTTGCTTGAGGATCTTGCAATACTCCTACGTTAACTACCAAAAAGAAGTCACGGAATTCAACTGGATTTCAGAAAAGAAATGCTTGATTGGGAACCAGCAAAAAGAAAACAAAGTATTCATCCAAAAAAAAAAACAAAGAAAACACGGGGAAAGCCCAGAGATGAAATAATGCTTAGGTGCTTACTTGACTACGAAAGGTAGAAGAGCTCAGCGGAATCTTCCTTTCCTGCAGACGTTGAAACTCGACTCCATCTTAACGAACACAAACTATAGATGGCAGTGATGTTTTTAAGATTTGGAGTCAGGCACCTATTTCAATCGCCCCCGAGTTTCCTTTTCTTTTTAATTACGGTCATGGTTCACAATTTAAAGTCGACGTACAAAAATTTAGAAATTTGTATTTTATTTGGAAGTGATATCAACCGTAGGATATGTTGGATCAGTTCTTGCGTTCTTGCTGTCGGTCGATCAAATATATTAATTAAAAAAACGCGTGCGAATAGGAAATTATCGGGAGATGGGTGGCTTTGGTCGACAAATATATTTAAAAAAAAAGTAAACTACACAAGTGGTTATTAATATTTGGGAAAATTTTATTTTTTCACTAAAATTTTAAAAATAACAAATTAGTCATTAATATTATCAATTTGTAACGAATCAATCAATTGACATTAATAATCATTACTGCAGTAACAAAACGTTGATGTGTCGCATTAAACCAATTGACCTAGTATCGTTTGACCATGGAGACACAATTTGATCGGCCGATTGAATTTTCTCTTATTTTACTTTTTTTCACCCTCTTTTGTTTTTTTAACACCTTTTATTCTAACATGGGGAGTATTCAAACATGGAAACCTACGAGAGGTACCAAAACTTGGTAACCGAAAAAAAAAAGTTTGGTAATGGTGATTGCTACTATTTTCTCAAAAGTACTTCATTTTTTGTATCAGATTGATAATCTTAATAGTTTCTCGTTTGCACAGATGTTAAGATTGTTTTCATTTTTTCTTTAATTTTATCGGAGTTAGTAGGAAATATCATTATATTTAATAACCAAAGTTTGAAACTAGTCATGGACGTTGCAGTGTATAACCAAATAATCAACCCCAACTATTTAACTATCTTTGTACCATTTATGATCACGACTCAATCATTTCAAAGATTATACTTCTAAAATTTAAAAAGATAAAAGATTATAATTTGTTTGCGTTCCAGATTGATAATATGACAAAAAATCGAAAATGAAAAAAATCTACTCTAAATAATCTTATGATTGTGTTGACAATTTTTTGAAAAGATTATCTTCATAATTTCTGTTGATTAAAGTTCATACGTCCTCCACATAAAATATATAGATTTATATTGTTTTAGCTCTAAAGCTTTGAATTGTATCTTTATGAATGTTACCACCCTAGTTACATACTTTAGTATAAAGAGATACTTATGAGTACTACGAGTATCCTAGACCTTCCACAAATTCTCGATGGTTAGAGGATGAAGAAACTAAAATAAGAGAGGAAACTTAAACGAAAGAGATACTTATGTGTAATACGTGCCTCTATGTTTGAATGTTCTTCATGTCGACATAAAATAGTGCTAATAAAACAAAAGAGGATGAAGAAAGTAAAATAAGAGAGGAAAGTTAAACGATCGGTCAAAAATGTTCTACATGGTCAAACAATATTAGGTCAGTTGATTTAATGTGCCACATTAATATTCTGTTACTACAGTAATGACTATTAACAGCAAGTGATTGATTTATCATAAACCAATAATATTAGTGATCAATTTATTATTTTTGAAACTTTAATGAGAAAAATGAAAACTTATTGAAACATGATATTGTAATTTACCCTTTAAAAAACCGTCCGAGTTGGAATTTTCGGGCGATTGGAGCATGTGGCTGTTGGTCGATAAATATATATTAAAAAAAGAACAATCGTACGAGTTGAGAATTATCGGGCGAATGAAGCTGATGGCCGTCGGTCGATAAATATATATTAAAAAAAGGAAAGTCGTGCGAGTTGGGAATTATCGGGCGATTGGAGTAGATATCTGGTTATCGATCGATGAGCTTCATTTTGGCCTTTGGCGTCTGTTGGTTCATATAAAGGCAAGGTTTTTTGGCGAAAGAATAGATTTGTGTCCAGCGAAAGGAAAGTTCCCTCATAGCATTTTCTTTTAACTGCAAGTAAGCAACTAAGCATTATTTATCTCTTGGCTTTCCCCTGTTTATGTTAAAGAAGCTTGAGCAATTATTTTCAGAAATCTACTGGAATTCAACCACTGTTTCTTTTTATTTTGTAGTCAATTCTCGGGGTACTGCAAGACTCCAAGCAAATTCTGCACTTGGCTAACCATGGAGGATTGTTCATCACATGGATCAACTTCATGTTTTTACTCACAGATGCTATATAAATTACGATTTGAAGTCGACAATGAGACTGATGGGATCTCTAGCTCTGTTATAAAGGGTGAACCTGTGGAATATCTAAACGACTTCCAAATTACGGGTGCTGATTCAAATACAGAAACAGGATGGGCTGAATCTAAACCTACTCCAATGGAAAGAGAACTGAAAAGAAAACGTTATGGAAGGCGCAAGAGCTCGGTAACGTTAAAGGTAAAGAAATCTAAGTCCAAACTGTTATTGCTTTTTTTTTTTTGGATACCTAAGTCCAAACTTGTTTTGTTTTCCTTGCATGTGCCTTTTGCTTGATCTATCTTTCTTGTTTGTTGTTGTATTGTGAGCTTCTTTGTTAATTCATGAATTGCATGTAGTTTGATGTTAAGGTTGGATTTCTTACTAATTGGTCTTACATATTTGCATTGCAGAAAACAGATGAAAAGATTGCTGATATGAAAGGGACGCTGCAGAAGAAAATAGATTCACTTTCTGGTATACTTAAATACATTGAACGGGAACTGCAGGAGGAAATAGATGAGAATTTGTATATGACTATGCGCTTGAAAGAGAAACAGAAGATAAAAGATGAACAGATCGCTGAGGTTAAACTCTTGGCAAAGAAACTTGATCGATTAAGAGTTGAGACAGAAGAGGAAACAGGATTGACGCTTTCCCTTCACAGGCAGCAACTTAAGCCTCAAAGTTTTACTCTCCAAAGAGCAACTGTGAGCTTCCACAATGATATTATTTTGCGATTCCCTTCTTTTTCATAGCTGATATTGGTCGCTGATATTTATAGCCATCAAACGAGACATTATTACCTATTTGTTTTCTGTGCTTTGCAGGATCCGCATATCATTGGAACGAACTCTGATTCTGTTGACAAGGTAGGGCAAATTGTTCTTGAGCCTATTGGTCTTGAAATATTTAATGCTTCAACTCAAATTCATCCCATTCACTGCTAACTATTTGTTTTTTTTGTGATTGCAGGAACGACGTGGAACTAACTTTGAAAATGTTGGCAAGGTATGGCATATCAGGTTTGAAATGTATAATGCTTCAACTGGACTTCATATTTGCACTTCGATACCTCTGATTAAAGTATATTCAGTTTCTAATAGAGCTTGTAAATTTCGATAAATACATAAAAATCTTATCAATATTTTTTGCCCATTCTTTCTCCAGTTTTCATCAATGGAACTTGCTGCATCCCATACCATATCAAATCGCTGTGCAAAAGGAGCTGACTTTCTTAGGAAACTTGAAGTTTGATGATGAGAGTAGAGTGAAGCTCTCAGACTTCGCTGACTTAGGTGGTGAGCGGATTCCAGTAGGCAAATATAGCTTCCCACCCTCACTACATCAAACTGTACAGAACATTACTGAGGTCTATGGTGATGTTTCTGAAACAAGTAGGATGAACTTGAGTATTGCCGAGGGGATCTACATAATGTTCTGTGCTTCAATCAAAGAGATGAGCGATCTCCGTCTCGAACAAGTCACCGAAGATCTGATATTGAAGTGGAGGGATGCAATTAAGGATGCTTTACGTATCAATTTCAAAGTGGAATTTGCAATGGAACATTTGAAGAAAGTTGCCCGCGCTTATATTGGTTTAATGGAGCATCGAAAGCTGATGGATAATATGGCTTCCAGGATATCCAATTTGGAGGCTCAACCGAGTGATGGGAAAGCGGAACATTCCGAGATACCCGAAATGTTCAAGGAATATATGGATGCTGCAGAAGAATTCACTGGCAAGGCTGTCAGCTCGGGCATGTTTTGAGAGTCTTCCTACCAAGGGTGTGAAATATACTCTTGTGTGTTTTGCTGGTCTTCCTACTATGGGTGTGAACCCGACTACTGTATAATAAGACCTTTTTTTTTTAATCGGAAAATTGAAACTTGATATCATAATTCATTGAATTGGAAATGAAAATCTTTGATACCAAAAGATTATATGCTATAAACATGATTAAAAAAATAAACACAAAAAAGAAATCAGAGGTTCTGTACTTTTGCAAAAAAAACCAACACGGGTCCTTTAACTTAGAAAATAAGTCTAATGTGATACTTTGACTAATATTTTTCATTGTTTGATTGTTACGGTGCTGATGTGACGATCCACAGTATTTAATAGTCTATTATGTTTGAGTTATCAATTTAGTTCACCTGTCATGTTATCTGCCTCGTTATCAATCAATATAGACGATCACGTCAATATCGTAAACCGTCATATTAATATTGTGAATTATCACGTTAATACAATAACTGTTAACAACGAAAAAAATTGATCAAAGGATCACATTGAACTTATTTTCTAAGTTGAAAGACCACATTAAGAAAAAAAATAGGGACAATGAGAGGAGGAGAGAGAGATGGCTGATCGGCGCTGGGGCCGTTGTATAGACAAAAAATTGGAGGAAAAGTGTTGAGAGCTTTTGAGTTAAAGTCATGGAAGCATAGCAAGGCTATAAAATGTATAGACAAAAAAAATACGTAGCCCATAATAATTGATACGTACAATATATGTGCAATCCAACAACTCGATGCCTCTGAATCTTTCCAGGCAATAGTAATGTAGTAACACTAATAATTTTCAGTACAGCAACTTCAGCTTTAGATACAAATGCAAACCCCACAGAATCACAACCTGGCCATATTCAAGAAAGCAACATCAAACACTGCGATCCGAACTAAATCTATCTATTGCCATTTGCAGTTCCTTGAGAGCTTAACAGGCAACTGGGAGATCGGCAGGTTGTACGGGAGGGATAATATTAGTAGCTGAAGGTTTGAAAGCTGCGGCAGTTGTTTCCAGACGTTCCCATTCTAGTTTCCTCCTCTCGGCTGCTTCGATGGATTGGGAGTTTTCTTCCTCCAACTTGCGCTGACAGGCAAGCAGAAGCTCTTCATCCATCTCGCTGAACATCTTCCGTATGTTCTGTGTCAGGTTAAGCACTGTTTGATTCCAATGATTCTGAGAATTCTTCTCAAGGGACGGGAAGATGAGAGGGAAAATCACGTGGCGATTTTGCGTAACAAGATTGAGGATGTGCTCGTTGTTCCATAGCAAGTGAGCTCGTTCGGCCACCTGAAAAAGTTGGAAATGGAAGGTGAAAACAATTTCATGTTGCCATCTGACCAAGTAACCTCCATCATCATTTACTTAATTCGTCAGGTCGGTGAACATTCTTCATCATGTAAGTAGGACACTGATCAACAGGCAAAGAAAAAAAAGACTAACTAAACATACAGTTCTGATAATGGAAATTTCATGTTTTGAAACCGATTCGACTCTTTCCCTCTAGATATACCACTCCAAAGTATCATCAAAGGAGTTTGCATAAGACCACAGCCACACAACCTACCAAAATCCGTAAGTTATGAATGTTTAATAATCATCTTAGGATGCAGATTCGACACTACATCAGCACAAACTTCACGACTTACACGTTATTCCCTAATTTGAAGCTCCTTAAAGAGGGAAAAGAAACAAAAGAAAAACCAAAAAGTGTACTTGATATGAGGTTCTTAATCAGTCAAAAACAAAAACAATCCTGATATCGTTTAAGGTAAACATTTTCGCATAACGATTAAATGAGGAAAATTTACCTGGTAATGGGAGCTTTTTAAGCAGCATGCAATTCGCCGGAACACTGGAACCATGATCTTTTGGAACTCAACCATGTTAGTCATCTCCAAAATCTCTTCTAACTCGCTTATAAACATCAACTCCTTCTGGCTGTTTGTAATTGGCCAGTACTTTAACAGCCCCTTAATCACACTGTTAGATAACTTCTGATCCTTATCTATAAACTGTACAACGCAGTAAGTTAATTGCTGATGATAAACTCCCACCGATTTTGGCTTGTGTAGCGGAATAAGAGCTCTCCACAGAAACATTTTGTGCTCCTCCTTCAATGGCATAGCAAACCCACTAATAATACTTCCGAAAACCTCCAAGAGCTCAGCAATACCATTATGCCTTTCGGTTTCAAAAACAAAACGATAGATGATATTGCTAACAGCTTTTCGCACAAAGGGCCTGTGTACCATGAACTTCTCATAAATACTATGAAGAATTGTTTTCAAACAGTCTCTTTCCCGAGGGTCTCCGGACTCAAAGAGGTTGAGTAATCTCAGAATAAAAGAATGATCCACATGCTTTTTTGCCACCTTTGCATTAAGAGAATTGTAACTGATAAACCGAAGAAGTAGATCATACACGAGTTGCAAATTGGACCAGGCAGGGTCAAACATTGGTTCATCATCTTCTGCTTCACCACTGGAGACATTAGAGCGATATTTAGGTGGAAAAACTCTGAACAGATTAACCGCACACATTTGACACATTGCAGCGACTGCTGGTTCGTTGAACTTTGCAGACCCCGAAGAAACGAAATCGATAAGTTCTATCAATGTTTGGCATTTAAGATCTTGCTTGGGAGTAGCTTTATCGGGATCATTGAAATCAGAAACCTCAGAGCATAGGTTCAATTTACTGATAAACAGGTTCTGCTTCTGTGGATTTGAGACATCCTTGAAAGACAGATTCGGATCCACTGCCTCCGCTCCAGCCATGATGCTAGCAGGAAAAACAGCCGACGACACCCGTTTAACAACACTTAGTCGACTTGCTATACTATTCCTGATATTTGTACACTGAACTCCATTGCCCGAGTTCGAAGTATGATTTCCAGAATCAAACCCAGCTGAATCTAATGAATCTGACTTTTGTGACTTCCGTGGGAGTTTGCTTAGAATTTGTTTGATCATGATGGAAACAAAGCAACTTCCGGCAGTGCCAACCGCCTGAATCACATGACATTAGTTACAGACTTACAATGATTTGAGTGACGTATAAAATCCTAGATTGTATGCGAAATAGGAATGTGATCGCTATGCTAGAACAGAAAAGGGAATCAAAGAACACCAAGAATTCATACATTTTCATAACAACTTTGCAAAAAAGGCATTCACTTGCCGTATTTCAACCATACTGATATAGCAAAGGTAAGAGAATTCCAGCTAAAATTCCTAATGCTATAACCATGTTTGACAAACACAGACAGATCGGAGTGAAATAATACCAACAAGCATAACATTCAATACAGCAAATAGTAAATTGAGGAAAAGTTAAAAGGCTTATGATCCAAAGACAGCCAAGCACAAATATGTTCACTTTTTCCAACATTTAGGAGGAGCAAATGGATTAGAATTAAACTAATTCTTCTGCGAGGACTACATATATTCTTGCTACTAAGCTAAATACTCGAAAGTGAATAGTTCAGGAACATCATTTCTTCTTCAAAAGAGTAAGCTTAGAAAATTTCCAACCTAAGCTAGAGTTTCTAATAATGACCAGATTCTAGAACTCAGCTTTCAGCCATAGATGGAAAATGTTTTAATGTATGAAGAAAGTTCAGGGAAGAAATTACCCCCAAATCACCGTGTCACAACTGCCACCAGCATTATTCTTCAGCGAGGGCAAAATAAATCAAACTAAAGCACTCACTTTGATACCATAAAACTAGAGAAAACTAAGTTCCCCGAAAAGAAAGTCATGAACTTTTAGAAACAGGGCCTAACAGCAGCAATGTTGTGATGATGAACTGTAAAAGCAAACGGAGAATTTTGTTTCACAATAGGAAAAAGCAATATAAGCTTAAGATCTGAAAGTACAGTGAACCACAGAGAAAATGGCCAAAGATCCAGCACAAATTCACAAGCTTTATGAGAAATTGAAAGAAACCCAGATCTCATTTACGTTTAACTAACAACATAAACTTCCATAAGTCGGAAAGTATCAACACAAAAGAATGTCATCATCAAGCATATAAATTTAGGTAAACACTGTGACCCAAAAGGACAAACAAATTAAATATCATGCAGTTAAGCCAAGAATAAAGACATAAAAGAGAGAGAAATAAAAAAAACAACCTGGATTTTTTAAGCTGTCAAAGTAAAGACCGAGAGTTGGGAGAAAAGAAATTAAAAAAAAAGATAATAAGGAAGTGAAAAGGAAGTAATCTGGAAATGGTTTAGACTCTAAATAAAGACGGTATTTTGGCTTTTCATTAGTTTCAGGGTGTCAAGGAACTGGGTTTGAGAGTGATACAAATAGAGTCATTGATGGTTTTGAATCTCCATGGAAGATGAACAGTTGCGTTCCTCGATTGAAGAGAATGAAAGATGTGGCATTTTTCTGAGAATACTGCATTCACTAGTCATCCCACTAACAAAGTACGGTAAAATTATCTTCTTCTTCTTTTCCATAACAAGTGGAATTAGCATCATTATCATCGTCGCAATAATAATTATGATTGAGCTCTAGAGCCTGTTGTTTAGCACGATTAATTTACCTATATCTTTCCTAATTTTTTTTTCAATACTTTCGGTAAAAATTTGAAAACTTCGATTAGCATTCATCATTTAGTGATACCTTTCTAAAGTTTTTACTTAATTTTGTTTATTAGGGTAAGAGAATTACAAAATAATATATATTTTTAATTATATAACAATGAAGGTTCATTAATTTTGTTTTGATTTCTGGTATTTAAATATGTAACATCTAGAACAATAATAATTATTTTAACCACTAATATAATTTAATTAGTACTAATTTGAATAGTATATCAAGAGTCTCTTTAATTATATTTAAAAATAAAAGAGAGTCTTCCTTTTAAAAAATAAGATTATATTTTAATTTCATTTTAATTTGCAAAACAGATCTCTTCAATCGTATCTATAAATTAAATAAATTATTGATTTGCATCATAGATTAAACAAGTAATTATATTAAAATCCATAATAAAATAAATATTGTTTGAAAAATTAAAAATCAAACGAGTTTTTATTTAAAAACCCGCAGATGAAATTTCCAATGTTTAATAAAATTTTAATTTATCATTTTTAAAATTAAAAAAAAACACCTTCAATATAGGGACGACTTTTATCATAAAACTTCAAAATAAAATAGAAATATTTTAATTTTTTTTTAGACAAGAAAGAAACATAATAATTTTGCTTTTGACACTTGGAGCATGGAATCCTAGGACGATACATTGTACCTCGCACCAACTTGCATATTTGTCAATATTATTGTGTTCCTTTTAGGACATTATTGAGGAACATACCATGAAACACGTTAAACTTATTATTTCTCCATTGTCATTAAAGTAGTGTTTCGATATATTTGTTTGGGCTTGGAGAATATTGTAATGAATTCAAATTCGTAAAATATATTTTAAATGTATAAAAAATATTTATATTATTTGGGTTGTTGATAAGTCAAAAATGTTACTGACATAATATGTTTAAACCGAAGATCTCAATTAACTCAAGGACGATTAATTAGGTTTTAATAAAATTTCAGTCCCCCATTGAAATTGCTACTCTAGAATTAGGTTACAAGTGACAAAAGTTAAAAGCAAAAATATACTAATAAATTTCAAAACACTTATTAGTTTTAAAATAAAACCAAATAACAGCGCTAGTAGATTTAGACCGAATGAAACTATAATCAAAGTCGAAACACCTAATAAGTTTGTAGTAATTTTGAAATAATGAACTAGAAGAACCTTTGATTCTTGTTTTCCATCTCATATTCATTGATTTCATGGCAGAAATCATGGGAGAAATCAGGAGGAAGCATTTGATGAAACGCATGCGGCATCATCAGCTGTTGTCGCTGGTTATAAGAAGTGGCCACCTCCGCTGGCTGCATGGATGGAGCACCATTGAGCCAAGTTCCCATTCCTGCCTTCGGTTCCTTGAGCATCGCATAGTTTTGCATGGCACTTGACATGCTCGGATCATGAATGACCTGAATCGATGACACCGGATCGAACAGTACGTCGTTGTTCGGCATCCCGTATATCTGATCGTGGTGAACGAAAAACGGAGGCGGAGGGTTGTACATCACGTTGTTCGGAATGCTGCCGTTGCTGCTAGATGGAATCCCTGATCGGACTCCGAAATCAAGATCATTATTCATCATCGACATCCTCAGCGATTTGTCGTTGGGATTCAGGCTAAGGGAAAGCTTTACCAATGCTTCATCAGCAGGGGAAAGGGATGGTCCATGTATGTCGATAGATTTAGCAGGGAGAGGAGGCTGCTCCCCGATAAACCCGAACTCTGAGTTCTTTCGAGAAAAGGCTTGGATGGCATGAACATTGATGTGATTATCCGAGAGGTTTCGGTTCCAAGGGTGTAAGACTGCTGCAGGGATGTTGAAATTATCAGAAGGGCTCGGCCTCAATCGAGCATCGAGACTACCTAGTATACTCATTGATTCAGATTGCAGCGACTTATGCTTATCACCTCCCTTCATCAACATGATCTTCCTCTTAACAACTTCAATGTTCGAATCAAGTTTAGCAAGACACGACATGATCTGTTCGGGGGAGAAATTGTCGATACGGTCATCCCATGTCGGAAACTTCGCTTTGAAATTGGCTTTGCACACTTGGGCGACCTCGTCGCGATCCCGTCTCCTGCGCATGTCTAAAAAATGGGAAATACTGAAGGTCCTCTTTTGCGAACCCGAAGCAGCCACAGTTTGCTTGTATCTGTGGATGGTGCCATCAACCCGGATAGGATCCGAAGGCCAAACTTCGACATTAGGAGGATCCTCTTTCAACTCAGGTGTGAAGATGATCATGCATACGTCCACATCACAAAGAACTGAGAATTCATAAGCCTTCTTTTTCAGGCTCTGCAATCTCTTCTTTAGTGTTGCAGCTCGAGTCTTCTCCTTCTCTATAAGTTTCATTCTCAATTTTCTACGAGCCATATATCTGACAGTACCATAACCATGAAATCAACTTATAAAAAGACAACTGATCCTACACTGAATCATATTCCATCATTAAAAAACGAATTTTGACCATGAATGTTCATATATTCCGAGGTGTCATCATTGTTTAAACTTTAAATCTAATTAACTGTAACACACGAGATTAGAACAGAACAATAGAAGTCAAAACGATAAAGTTAGTTTGATTAATCATAAAAATAAAGAGAGGTGGCTCACCTTAGATTTCCGACTAGCCTGTTTATGAAATACCTTAATAATGAACAAAATAATAAACATGGAGCTTCTCTTAATCTTTTATAAATGCGAGAAAAGAGATTTTATTCTCATTAATTTCAATAAAGGGTGTTGATTCTTGATTCAGAAAAATTAGGAAATTATATGATTCTTGATATGATCGGACCATTGTTTGACATCAAAGCATTCATAAATGCAATCTATCTTTTAGGTGTTTCCTTTTTCCTATATTTTATAAGATAATAATAAATCTAGTTGATGAGATTTCATTACTTTAAAGATTTTTTTTAAAAAGTCTCTTTTTTGTATGCATTTATTATTTTTATTAAAAAGGTTAATTTTATTAAAAAAAATTTAAAAAAATAACATACACCATCATTTAATAAAATATTTAAATTTATTACTATTATAAAGAACCATAGAATTAAATGTATTTATCTTAATTATTTGAATGTACAGATAAACTCATGTAACCCTAGAATTATGTTAATTATTTGAATTAATTAATAAATAAAAACTAACATCGTCGAAACTTATATTATAGATGTGCCAGAAAATTTTCTTTACTAGCGAGTATCAAGAGTTTAATGTAATTTTTATATGTGATTTAAGTATTTGGTCAAAAAATAATTTTAGGAGACATTGTTATAGGTGATTGTGATAATTTATTAGTGTTATGACTTAATATAAAAAAATTACATTTAATTTAAGTACGATGAATTTTATTTTTAATAATAAAAATTAAAAAATATCATATTTTTAAAGAATAAAATATTTGGGGTTTCTAGTAACTATAGCCTTCAGCAGTGAAGCAGCGGCCTCTACAATACTTGGCTCCCCATATAGCATAGCCTTTTTAGGAAAAAGAAAAAGAAAAGAAGTCTCCATTCAACTTCCAATTTGCACTATCAGCAAGGCATGACTAAATTATCAATTAAATATGGCATATGGCACCTGAGCAATACGTGGAATGCAATGTGGACTTGACAAAATCCATTTTACCCTTGGAGTTGGGGTAACCATCTCACCAGCATCATCTAAGTCTGAATGTGCCGAAACCATGCTATGTAACACAGACAAGGCCGCCTCTCCTACCTGCAAATAGGATTGTCAATTAGAAGGCATCAAGAAAGGGTAAAGATAAGGTTGGGCCTCTAGAGATGTCTATGATTATAAGACCACAGGAAACCAACATTTAATAGATGTGAGATAATACCAATTAACAGTTTATACCACAAAATATGTTCGATCATGCGATTCCAATGTTTCCCAAACCATTAGACAATGCACAGAGATACAGCACTCAAGAAACTAAAGTGCAAGCAACAGATAAAGTATTGCACCTTCAACAAAGCCTTAAACAAGTCTAGTACAAAATATCCGATGCTGGGTTCTTAAACTACAGATGAAGGAATCCAAACATGATTTCATATACTAATTTGCTCCAATTTCCAGAAAAAGGGAATAAAAAACTCAACAGACGAGAACAATCAGCTGAAGAAATTCGGATTTTCAAGTACTTGATTAATGCAGGTCAGCATGACAATGAGAAAACAATACCTGAGTTGCTGTAAGGACAGGGAATCCGAACAGATAGTGCCCAACGAAGTTCACGAATATCTCGTAATCTCTTCCGGTCCATCATCCCAGAAGCCCAACACCTTGTTGTCCAAACAACACCTTCTCTAACGGTCCAGCCTCTTCACCATATTTGTCAGCATACATCCATTCCTTAAGTGGCTCCATAAAATCAGTAGCAGCTATCAAATTCGATTGCAAAGGGATAGCAGTCCTCTCTGAAGCTTCATGAACCATTGTTAGTAAATCAACAGCTAGTACATACCCTCCCAGTATAACACAAGATTCCATACTAAAACCTGCAAATATGTAAACAGAGAGTTGATATTACTTTGGAAACTATCAAGATTAGACTCAAAAACAACATCTGAGAAAGAACAAGCCAACTCCATCTCTTGCGTCTATCACAAATTTTATATAGAAACACTTACAGTAGAAAACATGTATCAAACCAAAATATATTAGTAAAGATACCTTCAAAAGAAGTAGCAGACGGTGTTTCAAAGCTCTATCATCAGTCCGGTCCAAGAGAACTGTGATATGTGCAGTCCCTTCAAAAGGACCTATTATTATATTGCAATGTTGCTCATACACAATTGACATAGCCCTTGCACAAAGCTCCCTGACTGAAGATCCTCCACCTCCTCCAAAGCCATCTAATCTTCCCATATCGCACCAATCATCAGACGAACCCAGCTCATCCGAAAAAGCACCACCTACTGCGAGGCCTATGTCAGCATCACATAAAAACCGGTGATAGAGTGCTCTGAAGAAACCAACAGGATTTTGAAGTGGAAAATCCTGTGCCCTGCCACTACTACCACTCTCAAGCAACAAGCGGAGATAATATTGACCAACACACACATCCTTGGACAAACTACGATAACTGACAGAGAACTCATAATAGTTCCAAGAGATCCTTGGAACACTATCTTGGCCACTCCTACTCTCTACTATAGCACCTCCAGGAACAATATCTTCAGTGCATTCCTTCTCAACATCCAACTTATGAGCCTCAGCTTGCAAAGCCTCCCTCAGTTCTTGCCTAGTACGCTCATTCCATATCAAATCTGCACGGTTATGATCAAGACTGAAAACCCGCCAGAATTCAGGCCAATTTCAAAGTAGGCAACCAGAACCAACAGCTGTGTTCTCCACTACCACCTGAGCAGGTGTTGGAAGACCAGTGTTACGTGACCCAACTACATTGCTGTTGGAATCAACGATTTGAAGAATTTATTTCTGATGTGCCATGCACATTCGCTGATGGGGCATCAATGGACGAGACAAAACAGAATGGCCATTTTGTGAAATTCCTGTGGAGCATGTATCACTGGTCAAACTTTCCATGGTGTGAGCAGCAGAAGATTGGTTTGAAACTTGACTGGAATTATGGTCTATGGTAGATTTCTGGTAGTTTTCTGCCACTTTATGGTAACCAGTGTTCATCTGCCTGACAGCATCACCAGCCTCATAACTATTAACAGAAGAAAAGGGTTGCTCTTGCGATGAAATCCCCTGCCCTGTCCGATCTCTCCTACGCTTAAGTAAGCGACACCGCGTTTTGCTGGTTAATTATCCTTCTTGACTTGAATCTTCAAGTACTCCATCAGGATATGTGTGCAAATAAGCAACCAGTTATGGGGGAAATACTCTAGAGCTGGTTGGTAGGAATCTGCCCATAAAGCAACAAGCTGTCGACTAACCTCAAGCCGCTCACAAGCAGAAAGGAAAAATGCATGTAATAAATGCCTCAATAGAGCACCATCGCGTAAAGAAGCCTCCTGCATTGACTCAGCGGCAATTGCATCTTCTTCAGCAATAGTACACATTATCACAGCAACATTTTCCCTGACACTCTCTGCAGGATGGCCAAACAAAGCAAATAAACTGCACTTCAAACCAGCTACTTGTGGCAACAGCTCAACAAAAACTTTGTATTGTAGTTTCACCATGGATCACATATCATAGCCTTCAGAACTTCAAAAAAAGCCATGGAAAGTAAAGGCGACACAGACGTTGATTTCAATCTGTTGACAAGGATAACAACATAACCCTGTTGAGAGAACAATACAGATTTGGTATGCATAATTGTGGCATGTTGCTCCCCTTTAGAATCTGTTAGAAGATTTGTATCCCCAGGACCACCTCCAATGAGTGATGCAACAAGCCCTGCTGCTTCAGCAGCTACACCCTCAGATCCATTTCTAAGTAAGCCCATTATTCTTCCAAAGGCAGCAGGAAAAGACATGATATGAGAAGCAGTACTTTTGGAAGCTAGCAATCTACGTAAACATGCAACAAAGCCCATAACTGTTGCGGCAGCTTTAGGCGAAGGAGGAGGCAGGGGAGGGGACTCTGGAGGAAGATTTGGGGTTGTTGGAAGCATTGTAACCAAGGCCATCACAGTAACCTTAGGTACTTTTTTTGATAGAAAGTAACCTTAGGTACTTCAATATTAGGAGGCACTCCGCATATGGAATGCAAACATTGAACTCCCTTATTCTATGCCATAGCTTAGCTCTTGAACCAGGAATAGAACCACCTTCAGCAACAGCATCTTTGGCAGCAGCAGACAAGTGTTTCAAATGCATGGACGCACTTTCCACATCAAGAAGAGCGGGCTGTTGCCCAAATTGCAAAGTAACTGTTCCACAAGGTGGATCAATGCGATGATCGGGCATTGTCAACCTTGGTAAAACAGGTACAGGAAGCTGACCCTGGACAACCCGGATGTCAACCAAACCACATTAACAATTTAATTTGTCAAGCACTAATAGAACTTACAGCCATAGATAAAAATAGCAAGTATGATATGTAAAGAAAAGAAACCCTGTTTGTGTACTATATAGAGGACATTGACCTACTTCTATTTGCAACACATCACAAATTGCAGCAAGTAAATTATCTCATGAGGTGCTTGCATAGGCCTGCAAGTCATGGATTACATGTTAGTTGCATACCATAAACAATTAAGCTTTTGAACCAAAAACTTATTCTCACATGGATAGGGCACCCATCATTGAATTCAATTGCAAACATCTGGGGCTCCTCTGCAAATAGAACAAGGGAGCTCAGTGACGATAAAGGACAAACAATAAAAAACTGCACACATCTAAGGAAGATTCTCAGCATTTGATAATTCCTAGTTCAGAAAATTGCTTGAAAGATTAAGCCTTTAACATTAACCTCTCGATTGCCTCTATGTGTTGAACTAACATTTCAACAATTTTATTGCTTTTATGAGATGGAGGCAGTAAACTCTCACTGCACTTTACGTTATTCAAAGATGTATCTTCTATTCTAAATTTCTAATCCATTTTGAATTTACAATAGCAGTAATTTCGCAGCAACATTGTCCAACATAAAGATATTGACTTGTTGTTAAAATAATTAAGGAACAGTTACAAGTTACCATAGTTTGCCTTTGGTTTTCAACATATTAGCAAGGATGGCCATATCTAGCATTCAGTCAGCCTCATTTCAAGGGTAATTTTCAATTATAACTCCAGTTGGAGCAATGGTTGAAGTCAATTATGTGTAACACAGATGAAGTGTTAAGTCAAGTTATGCAACCAGTAAATAGCATCTACTCAATAAACTTTTATTGGAGGATGAAGGTCGTTAGCTTACTTCATAATTATCTAGCCGCCTTTCAAGAAGGGAGGCTTTTGTGAGGATGAGTTGACGAGAGACAGCATTCCCATGCTGTCCAAGTCCTCCTTTTGGGCCAACACTGAAACTCAATCCAGGAACATTTAAAGTTCCACGAGCAGCAGAACGCAATCTTGTCACAAACCAACCTCCGCAAGGGGTTTCTGCTGCTCCAACAGCTTCTTTGGCTGCAATTTTTTGTGGTTGCATATTAATGAAAGAAACACCAAAAGAATTACAACCAAGAAAGAGAAGCAGAAAAAAAGGGATAAAGAGAAAGTTAAAGTGTAAAAACAGAAGGAAGTTCTTTTTATTAAATTACCTCTTTGCTTTATATACTCTGTTGCGGTGAGAGATTGTGACATATCTACAGAAAGTGACACTCCAACCATCGACTTCGCAGCCTTAGTCTGCAAAATTTGTTTAAAATTAATTATCAATGTAAAATATTTAGTAAAAGAAACCATGGTTGAAATTGAAAACAAATTCATTGAACAGGAAGAATTCCAAGAGAAGTGGAAACATGAATTTTGAAGAATAGGTTTGAATTTGGATTCTTGTATGGAAACAAACACGCACAGAGAGAGAGAGAGAGAGAGTTTGTCTGAAGTGAGGTAAAAAAGTTACCTGAAAACTAGTTAAAACTCGGTGCATGCATGTACTTGAGAGGGTATACGCAGCCGAATTTCAAGTTTCCTAAATTATTAAGAGATTTGACAATTGACATTCAATATTAATATAAATCTACCTAGTCCATGACTATGAAAGTAATAAAGAAAACCATTATGAATTCTATCTCCTATATTTGTACTAATTCAAGATCCATCTCCCTTTGTTCTTTCAAGTTTACAAATGCAAAAAAAAATGATGAAAGTACATTAAAGATATTGTCAATACCAGATTCGAAATGATAGCAGAATTTGTGGTCCCTGAAGCAGCTTGAAAAGCTTTATATTTCCTTCCATATAGAGGACGAAGAATGAAACCACCATGATCAACGATTTTCTTCCCATAAGCATCTGAGAGTAGAACAATGGCCGGGGAAGACATGTCTCTAAAATCTAAGCACCAGCGAGGATCTCCAGATTTCAAATCAATAAGTTCAACCCCAACATATGTGACCTTCAATTTCTGAACGGACAAGCAAATGTTAGAAGCTTGAACAGGCAATTCAATACATAAATTCAAGGCAACCACTAGTAATTAATCAGAGAGCATAGACAGTTATAAGACTACCAGTGCATTCTGCTATTTAGAAATACAACATATCTACAACCAGTTAAGTTCATGCACATTCTCAGAAACAATCCAATTTCAATTACCAAAATCTCAAATCTCAAATCACAATAGTCAGATCTTTAATTTTTTTCTTTATTAAATACAAGTCTTGAATCTTAATATCTCCGTTCTCTTTATCGAATTTTTAACACTCAAAATGTCTGACTCAAGTCCCAATAATTCCTAATACTCTACAACGAGTCAACAACTATAAACTAAAATGTCATTAGCACTTCTACCTTAAACCCTTTCAACAAATAATTACTAAATATAACCCAATAACTGCATTAAATACTAAAAATCATAACAAACAACTAATGTCCCTCATAATAATAGTAGTAATAATAATAAACAGCGAATAATTTAAATCTTAGCCAATTTTAATTCTTTAAAGTTTAATCAGCTTCTATTTTTATCTTTGCATCAATTCTGCCTTAATTCAGAGTTTATTCTATTGACTTTTAAAATGCCGACGTAAAAAGAACTTGAATTACATTTTAAGAACGAAAGCTGATAAGAGCAAATTCAAGAAATTAGCAACTAGTTTCATTAGAACTCCATACTTAGACCTTTACGTAGTCAAACAACAAATGCAAGAGCAAAACTTACAAAGAGGGCCCATTCGGCATGGCGTCTCCGTATAAGCAACACCGGGAACTCCGCCACTGGTCCTACCGGTTCCACCTAATTCTATGCAAGTCAGTTAAAATGCTCGCCCGATACGGCGACGAGAACTTTGTCGTCTTAAATTTCCCTTTACAATCGGTCGTCACGCTCATATTAAACTCAGGAGAATTATCATCCGTCCCTACAATCGGCATGGCGGATTCGAAATCGATCGAGACATCGTAAGAATTCGTTACGGACAAAGTCGACGGATCGAGCGTGATGATCGCGTCGTCAGAAATACAAAGGATTCGCTTATAACGACCGCGCCACGAGTGCTTGATGACGAAATAACGGGCAATGTACTCGGGCTCTTCATGGGAAGGAGGTGTCGCGTTTGACAGACGGTGTTGGTCCATGGAAGAAGCGGGTCGGGCGGAAGGTAAGGGGCGGATTGTTACGGAGTCGAGGTACTGAGGAATTGGCGAGGAGGTGCATTGTTGAGGCGGAGGAAGGTTCAGAGTCCCCAACGTAGAGCAGAAGGGGTACGTTGAGACAATGACTGATCCGCCCTCAACTCCTAACCGAATTCACGAGATCTGCCACTCAAGCCAGTTTCTTTTTTCCAGTTATCGAATCAATTCTAAGATACCGATTAAGAAAACGTTGATCGAAAGGTCAATCAAAAACGAAATTAAATTGGATTGAAACAGAAATGGGGAATAAAAGCATAGAGAGAATGAACGGCTTAGATAATAGATCACCAAAATAATTCCATTGCAGTTGGGTCGAGTCGGGTCTTGGCCTAAAAGCTCTTTAATCTGTTTACCCGCTCCGGTTTGGAAATCTATTTAGTTCATCAACGCCACACCGATTAGTTAATTAAAAATAATAAAAAATACCAAATTTATTCATGATGTGAGATTTTTTTAAAATAATCATTCAAAATAACATTAAGGCTTAATACAAAAAAATTATCTAAATTGTCTAAAAAAAATTAGTTAAAAAATTGATGTCTAGTGTTTTCTCAATTAAAATTTTAAGTGTCCACCATTATATATTTTTTTAAATAATAAAAATATTATTTTTTAATAAAAATAAAAAACTTAATTTATTAACAAAAGAACCTCAAACTTTTAATGAAATCATAATTTTTTTTAAAAAAACTAAAATATTTTGTTTCAACCCGTTACCATGGTGGAATGTCGGATGAGCACCGACGGAGCGTCAACGAGGATGAGTTTTGAACGGTGGTTCAAATAGTGGTGATGGCGTGGCACAACGACAATGGCTTAAAATCTGACGAACCTTCGAACGCTTCTCCACGACAAACGATAGTAGTTTGCGAAAGGTCAACGAAAATTTGATCGAGAATCGACAGTGGTCCTAACGATGGTGACAGTGATAGCCACCGCCGGCCAACAACCATGAAAGAGGGGGAAGGGGGAAGGGAGAACGGGAGAAGGGGTGGGGAAGAAAAGGTGGGGAACCGGGGGCTGTGATGTGGAGATGTTTTTTTCAATAAAAAGAAATTATTTTTAAATTTTTTTAAAATAAATTCTCAAAATTATCAAGACTCGCACGTATCACTTAACAGTCAAAATTTAACGGCCGTTACAGTCCAGACACCTAAAAAATGCTCCGATAAAAACGTTAGGCATCTAATTTTTGTGAAAAATTATTTAGTCACTAAAACATTTTTCGATGAGAAATTAAGGTACTTAATTTTATATTAAGCCTAACATTAATTATGGAAAACAATGCAGAAGTCTTTGTTACCAAATGATAGAAATAATAATAATAATAATAAAATAAAAATTAATGAAAATAATGACATATCAAAATCAAACACTATATAATTCAGTTATTAGTTTGCTTCGTAATAACAGAACTATAACAAACGATCAACTGAAAAACTTGAATGTTAATGTACTAAAAAGTACATGCCTGCATTAGTTATCACAAAGATCCACTTCATACAGAAACAGAGTAACTTAAAAAAAAACGCTATAGTTTTAAAAACATGGCTGACCAATAATCAAGACGAAGAAAGTTTGGAGGAACTGTCAAAAGTGGTTCCAACATGCTGAATGACAAAGCCATAGATTTTCCTCTTCAACTTCCCAACCTTTTCTATCAAGGCCTCATCCCCGTTCGATACTGCCCTATCTAACCAATCATTGACCCGTTTCAACTGTGATAAGACGCCTGCAATGGAGCCACAGTCCAACGGTAATGCTTTACTACCACCAGATGCACTCTCTCCGAGAATCCGGAAACCGGCATCCAAGGACTCCTCAATGAACCGAAGAAACCATACTTCCATCTCGGACTTCAAGTTCAGTGCAAAACACACCGTCTCTTTCATTCCCTGACCCCTGGCCCACATTGTAGCAGTAGGTTCCTGCTTTGGCAATGAATCAGCTTTGAGTTGGTTTATGGGTGAAGCATGATGAGGTTGCACTTTGGACAAACTCCTCTGCAGAGGTGATGGAGATTCATTGTTTTGGGGGCTTAGAAGGGAGACTATCTCAAGATCAGTAGCCAGTGCAGCTTCAACCCATAGAGAAGATTTCGAGTGTTCCACAAAGGAATTTTCAGTGTCAGAGTTGTGGCTTGCTGCAACAGTCTCAGCAATTCCAGTATACTCCACAACATCTTCGTAGATCAATAAAAATTTGTCAATGGTGGGCAAAGGATTTCCAGCCTTCGATTTAGAGGAGAGTTCAGAAAACATGCTGGAAAATACAGGGGACACAAAATTAGGCCTGTAGAAGTTTGTTGAGGAAATATGATGCATGAGTTATTGATGCTCAAATAAATTAAGGTAATAAATCTGAGTTTCTGACCATATGAGATGCCAAATAAATATTGACTCTCAAGTTATTTGTCACATCATTTACATGCTCAACATTGCAACACTTAATGTTTCATGCATATGCATTTTAGCATGAATTCAAACCTTAAATTCCTGATAACAGACTCGGTAGCAATGGCCTCTTCCAATGCCTCTGCTGCAGCTTTGGAGGCAAGAACTCTCCTTTGCATAGCCTCCTGCATTCAGACGAAGTATTGAAAATACAAAACCAGTTCGCAAGACTTTAGCTTTGCTTATTTCTAGGATTAATCAGCTACATTACAAATCAATATTTCAGATAATGGAATATTTTGTTTCCATTTCATCTCTGTTAATCATTAGATAAAGTATTTATAATGTTCTAGTTCACATAGTTCATGTACTACACTAGTTCAATGATGGTGATGCTAGTTCTTGTACACAAAAACATGGTAGCTACCAGCTTATATATGTTTACAATGGAAGTTCAATATCATTGAGACCTTCGAATAAGGAAGACTGGGTAGTGATTTGATCTTGTTTACCCAACGTTGAAGATAAATAAATGAATTTAAAATCATGATAAATGCATCACATCATCTTTGTCAATTTAGAGTAGAAGATACAGTATAAAAACACGGCAATTTAAATAAGAAATTCTGATCATACAAAAGCAGTAAAGCACTATATTAAATGGGTAACAAACAAAAAAGCACAGCACATGGATTTGCATTTTTAAAGGTAAAGAATGGTTTGATTATCTTCTTGATAATTCCTACACTGTCCCATACCTTTCCAAGCTTTGCAAGGTTAGCAGAAATGGTATCCCATGGAACACTGCCATCAGTCCATTTCTTTTCATGGAGGGTGATTCCCGCTGCCCCACTAGCACATGTTGGTTTCTCTGGGGCCGAACCATCTTCGGGTGGGCTGGCATTTGTTTTCTCGGTGCTGGAAGAATGTTCGTCATTGGATTTCTGACTATGTACATCACTTAAACGTCTTGAAATGGCCGCCTGGAGAAAATCATGTCAAAAATCCAGAAGCTAACTAGATGCAGAACTGCACATATAACTCAATTTCTCAGGACAAATCTGTTGTATAAAAATTTGGTATTCTCATTCTTGCTTCCTCAAAGGCTAGCATAAATTTCTTAAAGCCAACTGTGGGATATTTCAGTTGAAGTTGACATAAGAATAACAAGATTATCCCAAACTCAAATTGCATATCAACTTCGAATTCCTCAAATTTGTTTTCTTTGTGGAATTTGGTGTTTAATTAATCAAGCAAGCAAATTAAGAAAATGATTTATTTACCTGAGTCCGCAAAATTGCTTGCAGATCCGGTTTAGACTTGACAGAAGCTTTCTCCTTGTGCTCTCCTGAACCTTTCTCCAGCTGCTCATCCCAGCCCTTCCTACTACTCTTTGTCGACCCCACCAAAGCTTCGGACACCTTTGAAATCCCAGCAACAATAGTTGCCATCTTCTTCTTCGAATCCCCAACAGCCGGCGAAACCTTAAATGACCCTGATAACCTCCTCCCTGGAGAAAGTGAGGCTCTTCGAGCACTTGGTGATGCCTGCTTCCTTCCGTTAGGCGAAGGTTGCCTATACCTCGACGGTACTATGATGGCCGACTCTCTCGCCACTTTCCTATTCTCTTCCTTGGCTGCTACCAAGCTTGGCACCACGCATTTTGATGGTACAGGAGACGCAGATCTCTTACCTTTCCCCGCCGGAGATGGATCTCTTTGCACAACCGCCACATTGGTCTTCTTAACAGCTGAACCAGAACGTTTGGCGGTGGCCGGTGACGAAAACCTCTGTGGAAGCTTTTCTGAAACCTTGAATTCGCACTCCAAATTCTCATTAACTCTAACATTACCTTTAGGAGCAAGAGGTTGCCTTCCTTTTGAATTTTCAGTTATTGAATCCTTGTTTTCAGTTGAAGTTTGTTGTTGATCAAATTTCTTATTAGACAAGTAAACAGCAATGGGATCCATGGAGTATTCGGATTCGGAAACGGGTTGTATAACGAAATCCCTTTTGGAAGACGAAATTCGGGCGATTAGAGGGTCAGGGGAGCCAACGAAAGGATGACGACCTGCAATGGGGCGTATGCCGGAGACACGTGGCACGGGAGAGTCAAAGTGGAAGCGATCTACGTAGACGAACTGGCCCAGCTGGAGGCGGTTGGAGAGGATTAATTCAGTGTCGCGCTCGGAGAGGGAGACGTAAGTGGAGTTGAGGGAATCGGAGAGTTGAACGTAGAAACCATGGTTGGGCCAGAGGTCGGAGCCGGCAAGAGCTGGGACAATACCAATTACTTGGAGGAGGGCAGATCGATGGTCGCCGGTGACGCGCGTTGCAGAGTTCATGGACTGGAGGAGCTTTAGGAGAATCCCTGGGTTAAGCGAAGCCATAGCAAGAGAGAGGGGTGAGGGGCTGGTCGGGGAAGGGGGAGGGGGAGGGGGAGGGTAAAGAAGAGGAAAGGGGGGATTCAACCGTTAGGAGAAACCAAATTCAAATTTAAAAGCCCGCTAATATTATTTTTTTTTATTTCTTTTCCTATTGTTTGAATTCATGTGGGACCTGATCTTGTCACAAATCTGAAAGCTGTACTCTACCGTTAAGCTATTTTCATTTTCTATATTTTCAGACGAGAAGAGACAGAAATGAGTTAAATAAAACTCGAAATGAACCAAAAAATTGAAAATTTTACTTAATTTGATATTTAAAAAATAATTAATTTAGTTTAACTCATTATTTCATAAGATTAATTAAAAAATTAAATACAATTTGAATAACTCAAAATTTTTAATAAGTAATAGATATATTTTTAAATTCGGGTCAAGTTCTTAAATTTTATATTACATATGAAAAAACATGAAAATGTATGTATATATATGTATATAAATTAAATCATATATGAGCACGAACCAACTTATCTTAATAGTTAAAGAAATTGTTGTTCTTCTTAGAGGTCACTGATTCGAACAACAACGACTGCATTAGGTTGATTGAGTGTTCATGTTAAATGATAGAGAATATTTAAAATAGATATTACTTTGTAATCATCACCTTAGTTTAATAAAAAAAATATATCCTATATGATCATTAAAATTTGTTTACATTTAAATAAACTATTATTATAATATTATAAATATTTACAGTTAAATTTAGATAAAAACTTAAATAACTCAACTTCACTCGATTTTTTTAAACTCGATTCAATTGGAAAAAATTAAGTAAAATTTAAGTTGTAGAATAAAATCGTCAACTTAACTAAAAAAATTATTTAACTAGACTTAATTGAATGTTTACTCTAACTACGAACAGACAATATCATAATATTAAAGTGCGTGACATAAAAATATGCATCCAGTATTTCATTAAATAATTGTTTTGTATTTTTATACATTTATTATTTAATGTTTTAATTTTTTATTATAATATTTTTATTAAAAAAATTATTAATTATTTAATGTGTTTTATTGATTGGATTGAGTCAAAAAAAAAGGAATGAACTGAAAGTGCAAGAGGGGTCGTGGGGGCAATCTCTTCTCTGTAAATTTTAAAATAGTATATATTTTAAATATTTATTATATTTTAATTGATAATTTGTTTTTTTTCTATAGTTTTATTTGAACTCTAATAAAATTTTAGAAATTTATCCCCTAGCATAAGATCATACATCCATCCTTAATTATATGAGATAAAATATTAACGTAACATATCTATGTATAAATAAATAATGATATAACACCCACAAATCATTAAAAATTATTAAACTAAATTTATTTTATTACTTTTTATTAAATTGATTCTACTCGATAAAATAATTATTTTACTCACGTGATAATATCATATCCTCATTTGCATATAAATATATATATAAATAACAATTCATTTCATTTGATTCTATCCAATCATTAAAACGTGTTCACAATTCATAAACTTTCATTTTTCAATAATAAAAGAATCATTTTATTAAAAAAAAAAAGCTATACATTTAAAATGCTTTAAAGAAAATAAAAATACTATAAATTATAATAAATTAAAGAATAAACTTCATTACAAAATTTGAATGAGATAATAAAAAAAAAGTTTAACGGCCACATATATACTGTAATAGATTAAATTTATCAACTTTACCACTATCGTATTTTCGTATTAATTTTACTCTCAAAATTATTAAATTTCATCAATATATATCTTTAATCGTCTTAACTAACATAGCCGTTGATATATGTTGATATGGAAGCGAACTATTTTCACCTTTCATATGTTAGTGATAACGTTTCTATTTGATGACGTGGTATTTGTAAAAAAATTATATTATCTAACCTATTAAAAATAAGTATTTTTAAAAAAATTCTCAGCAACCAAACAAAAACTTCTGATTTTCCCCTCCTTCAACAAACATCACGTCTTCAGAAACAAACCCAAATTTTACCTTTTTCCCTTCTATTCAATCTCGCAACAATCAAACATCGAAAAGGGGGCGTTCAAATGAATACTAAACGTCATCAGATCCCGCAAAACTTTGAATTATTGCATATGAAACTTAAAATATTTTTTTTAAGTTAAAAAACTATGAATTCTTGTCAAAAGAAAACTTGGAAGAACAACGAAGAACAATAAAAGGGGAGAAGGGTATTTACATATAAACTCTATAGGAAGCGAAATAGTTGGAGCTTGGCTTATTAGTGTTTGTTGAACACTTTTTAAGCCCCAGAAGTTCCCAAATTAACACAAACATGGTAGCTAAAGAAGTCTGAAATTTTGACTTCCTAACTGAAGCTCACACCTTCAAAAGCAAAAACAGAGAAAAAAACTAACTGAATCTTCAAAAATCAAGAAATATCCAAATTATATGTACCTTTGATCTTACGTTTCATTATCAGAATTCTGCATTTTTAGAAGCTAGAGACTTCAATCAGCTACACTCCAAATCTACCCCCCCCCATTAACACAAATATAGGTGTCGACGAAACCGAAGGCTCCGGTGACGAAGACAGAGATTTCGTTGTGAGAACGGATGCGGGCGGAGGAACGGACCCATTTTTTCCAAGTGGGTCTGCTCCAGTTGTTAATATGGAGAGAGCGACGAGATGGATCTTGAGGAAGGGGATCGATAGAATAAGATGAAGATCAAGGTCAAGAATGTTGTTGAGAAAAGTTGTGTGCTTTAACATCAAACAGGGATGTTCTTTCCAAGATTCAAAACATGGGTTTCTTTTGAAATTCAGGGGTTTTGGAGAAATAGGTAGTTCCGATTTGAAGATAATTTCAGTTTCTCTTTAGATTAAATGAAGAATGAGAATCTTTTGACACCTTCAATGGGTTTTGTCTTGTCGGTGGTTTCTTTTATTGGGTTTGTATTCTAAAGCTTTTTCCATGGCTTCCAAAAAGAAAGAAAGAAAGAAGGGAGATAAGAAGTAGTGAATTTCAGAGAGATGATGAAGAAGAAAAGTAAAACTATTTTTATTTATTTATGTGTAATAGGTTAGATAATATAAAAAATATTTATTTTTCTATAAATATCACATCATCAACTCTTATATAAGATGAAAACAGTCGGCATTCATATAAATATAAATTAATTGTTCTGTTAGTTAAGATGATTAAAGGTAGACGTTGATGAAATTAAACAATTTTAAAAATAAAAAATTAATGCAAAAATATGATATAGACAAAAATAATAAATTTAATCTACTACAAGAACAACTATGACCTTAAGCCTAAAAAAAGTAGTAGTATAGAAAATGTATAAGAAAAGAAAAAGAGGGAAACAATGACTATGAAAACCAACCACAATTAAGGTGCGTTTGGTTCATGAAATGTAAGATTACCAGTAAAAATAAAATATTACTAGAGAATAGGATTACTGAGAATGTTGTATTTTGTATTTAGTTGGTTTAGCATGAATGTAAGATTATTGTATTTGGTTAAAGGAATAAAAGATTATTGAAATGTAAATTTGATCAATTTGTCCTTATTATATATTTATTTTTTTAACAAGTTAAATTATACTATAAGATATTTATATATATATATATATTAAAAATTTTAAATTCATAAAATTTATATAATTTTTTTTAAAATTGAAAATATAAAAAAGTTTAATGAAAGGATAAAATTTTATTTTAACCCCTTAACTGCATATAAAATTTTAATTATAGATTTTTTTTGTAAATTTAAAATAGTTTAAAGATAAATTTGTAATTTAACCTTCGTAGAATTTTTATTATTCAATGACAGAAGAATGATATTTTTGAAGAAAAAAAAATTAAAAGGCATTTTAGTCCAAAACGCCGGTAATCTAACAACACCTAAGGGAAGGGAAGTAATGATAATCTCGGTAATATACCTCAAAAATCCACTGTTGGTAATAAAATATTATCGGGAATGAGATTACTGGCCAACCAAACGGGGGAATGTAGATTCCATTCCCCCCGTAATCCCACATTCCCCGAACCAAACACGCCCAGGGATAACAATCGGTTGAGTTATTGTCAATTCGACTCGACCTGAAAATATGTATATTTCACTAGAATTTGACTCGATTTGAAATTTTTATAACTTCCACTTGATTCAATATGACCCGAAAATTATATATATCATCCACACTACTCTAACTCGACCCAAATTTTTATAGTATAAATTTGACTCGTTCTGACCGGATCCGATAAAAAAATAATGATTTGATTAAAAAGTAATATTTTTTAAATAAAATTACATTATTATCATTGGTTCGAGTTGGATCGGATTTTTTTTTTACCCTCCAACCGAATCCAACCCACCTTGCTCTTTAAAAAATCCGGCCTGAACTCAATTAAAAAAAATCAAACTCTATCGAGTCGGAACTTATCAGATTTGGTTGAATTGTTATCCCTAACCGCAACTAAAGCAGTGAACCAGCTCTGATAAAGCCCAATACCAAGAGAAAGACCAACCCAACCCCCGTCATTTGGCAAGAGATTCTTTTGCCTAGAGCTCATAACGAGTAATAGGGAAAATCCTGGCATACGTATTTAACAAAAATTCCTATCTAATTTCAAGCATGTTCTTTCAGTGGTGGGGAGAATCAAGAAACATCTGAGGCGATCGATGATCCGTATTTGCAAACTCGTTCAGAAACCACCGTTGCTTAGTTCGTGAGCTGTTGTCTCCTACTATATGACACCTTACTGTTTTGGTGGTGAAGCACATATATACACGCACACGTATTCGGATTAATAGTCTGATATTTTTATTAATTCTACTTTTTTGTACAAATAAAAAAGAAAGAAAACAGAGTTGAAGAAGCAAAATATGTAATTTACACTCTGTTGCTCCTTTGGTTCTGGCATACAAATGAATGCTCTGCCTGCCCCTTAACCATTCTATTTAGAAAACCCAATGGACGATGGGATGCCTGGAAACGGAGTATTGTCATAGAACTCAATCTGAAATAGAATGGTCGTGCCAACACAAAAGCATGGAGACACAACGTCCCAAGATGTAAAACCGTGTCTTCTGTTGCTTAGCCTTCAACAAACAACGATTTCCGAAACTGGGTTGCCTAGGTGTCTGTGACCTGGATTTGGAGCTTGATATAAAGCAAGGATCACTCGACATGGCCGAATCTGAAGCTAAACTCTATTTCACAGGGGATTTGGTGCCTGCTTGATGATCCACTCTTCCGCTTTGGAATACTAACGCAAATGGCTGCTTACAGCTTTATATAAACATTTGACGGTTGTGGTCCCCATACCCTTATTTTAGATTATGTGTCATCGTCATTTCCTGGAACCTAACCTTCTTCTTTCTGTACTGACATTGTTGCCCCCGTGTTTTCTTCCTTTTGTATTACGAATTAAGGAAGCCAACCTTGGTAATATATTTTATACTTGTTTTTTTTAAATAATATCTTATACTTATTTTATTTCAATAATTTTATTAAAAATATATTTTTTAATTGAAAACTTCTGATAGTCTCTTAGGAAAAAAAACTTAGTTATTAATTAGTGTGTCATCTTTTTTTTCGTCTTTATTAATTGATAACTGCACTAATTTTAGTATTGATTGTCAATCATTTATATTTTTTATTGTCATTTTATTTTCTATATCAAATCTTTATTTTATTTTTTCCTTTGACTTTCAATAAGTTTATTTATATTGTACATTTTTATCTGCCTTTATGACATATTTTTCTAATGTCTTTTTGTATGTTTTTAGCTTTTTGGTCATTTTTTCATTTATCATTTTTCTTAGGGTTGATTTGGTATCTTCACCACTGATCAATATGACACTTATATGATATATTGTTGATATTCTTTGCTTTGGACCCTCAAATTGATTTCATATCCGATTTGCGTTCTTGAATAGCTTTTCACGCCACCCGAATCTGATTTGCAGTTTGTCGGTGGTCATTAAATAGTTTGATCCATTTTGTGGTTTATTTGCCGATGTCATCAAATATGTTTGTATCTATTTTTTTTTATATGTTTCTTGGTTAGATTTAATCTTTCCTTGTATGGTTATTATGTGATCTTCGTGTTTCTTGGTTAGATTTAATCTTTCTTTGTATGGTTCTTATGTGACCTTAAGTTATTAGTTTTGTTTTAATAATTATATGAAATTTTCTTAATTATGTGTTTAATTTACGATTGTGATTGTAAATATTTATTGTAATTTCGTATATTTCCTATTTAGAATAAAATTAATTATTTCTATCAAAAAATAATTTTTATTTGAAAGTGGAGAAATAACGCATGCATCAACGAAAATATTTCATAATAAATATTATTTTGTAAAAATATATAAAAAAACAAATATGTATTTTCTTTAAAAATAAGATGACCAAATACTAAGAGGAACATACTAGAAAATGACAAAATAGTAAATTTGGAAGAGAAAATATCTAATAAGGACGACATTTGATTACCGTCTATCCCCTACGTAGCATTCTTGTCGTCATTTTGCACGTGTTTTCCGTGGGGACCTAAACATCTAGAGGAAAATAAAAAATATTAATATAATTTATAAATCTAATCAAATCCGGATCTAATTTTTTTTAAGAGTGCTATGCTTGTCAACAGGGAAGCTATGCTTGGTTTTTATCTGTATTATAAAAAATTGATATAATAAAATTTTAAGATGAGTTTCTTTTAAGATGAACACATATATTAATAAATAAAATATTGAGTTTTAAAATAAATTCGAATTCTAAAAATTTTAATGTGCTCTTATTATAAAATATCGCATGTTTTATTTTTTTTTTTACTAGTATAAATGAATAAGTATCGGAATTGCTTAATAAAAATAAAAGATGTTATTAAAATTATCTAAGAGCACCAACACTCTTTAAATTATCTTAAGAGTGGAAGATGATTTATAGATTTACATAAATTATTTATTATTTCATTTATGATTATAGTATAATGCATTTATTAAATTAAATAATTTATAATAGATGTGACAATAACTAAATTGGACTGGCTTTAAATAACATAATTTTTATATCATATGATTTATTCAGTTCAGTCAACGAACGCTTCTAGACTCTGTGTATGTATATTAAACTAAAGGAACATATCCGATTTGGACCCACCTTATCTTCTAAATGATGGCATGAATTTTCTATTACGGGCAGTGGTTCTTTCCCTTGTGGGGGCCAAGCGGCCCGGCTTTACATACAACCAACAGGGGAAGCACTTAAAGGCCTTTCAACGGCAATTATTTTTGGAATTTGGATCACTGACAAAACGGCTGGTTTTGGATCACTCTAGGGCCTTTATCTTAAATTTATTCTAATAAACTAAGATTAAAGCCCACAATAAAGTCCCAAATCACACAACATAATCAGATTAGAACATTACTTATCATAAAGGGAAAACCCATCGTACATTTATGAAAGGGTTTTTTTTTTTCACTTCATAAGATAAAAATTGTTTTCTTTTCCTTTTTGGGATGGGGATATATAGATATCTTCACGAGCATAAATTTATTTGTTTATAATTTTATATTATTTTCTGCCCCAAAGCCCGACCCAGCACATGAAGGAACTCCAGAGGTGCAGTCAACTGAGGATAATGCCCATCAACTTTGAGGATCTCCACAGTTGTATCCCCTTTGATATTATTCTGCATGTAGTAGGCGACAGAATCTGAAACCACAAGGTCATTCGTCTGAATAATGGTGCAGGGAGTGGTAACCTCCAGAGTTTCCTTTTGGTCGCTGTGAAACACCATCTTTAAGCATTCTTGGTTCGAAGGTATTCCACGGAAACTATTTTTAACCTGGCATTGGGGACAGCCTACTATTCTACCTCCCCTTAACCCAACCCATTACATATGGGAATAAGGGTCAGCCATTTTTTCAACGGAGTGTGGATCATCGTTGTCCACAAGAAGCCTAGCGAAACTAGTTGTCCAGTTCTCATAGTCTGATTCTATTCTGGCATGCATGCCGGCAACTTCTGCAGCATCAAATCCACCTTCGTAATCGTCTATATTAATGTACCTGCGATAATTAAATAAAAAAAACTAATTTATCTAAAGCAGAAGCATATGTTTTCTAGAATAAAAAACAGGGGCACAACAAAGAGAAGTACCTAGGAGATGCTCCAACAAGTGTTAAAAATTTATATTAAGATCTAGATCATTTGTTATAATACACGTGAAACTCATTATATCCACACGTTGAGTTTGATAAAATATATTACATATTAAAAAATAAAACTCATTACGTGGACTAGATGAAAACTGTATGAAACTCGCCAGGTGGACAAAAAATTTATATGTATGACTAGAATTATATGCGTAGAATTATTGAAGACAAAAATTACATTTGAATAGTTTCTGTCTAATACATACATATATAAAGATAATATGTATGACTGGAATTACATTGAAGCTCTAGCCTTAAACTTGAGGTAGCTATGCTCCAAGTCATGACCTAAACTCCCTTGGGTTTCATCTGACTCCAACAGGCTTTGTTTGGTGGAATCAAGGTGTCGATCAGAATACGCCACAAACGAAAAGAGGAAACTTATATCATCATGATTGGACGGGTGTTGGTTGAGGAACATCAACTAAACGCTCTATCATCTGGAGCTGATCATACGGTGCTATCTGCGTGATGACAAGTAATTTTTTTTTTAAAGAAAGATTGACAATGTTGCATTAAAAGGCAAAATGGTACTCTCCATTGTCAATCCGATGAACTGCTATGCTAATCCGTTTTATTAGAGTAACAGATCAATCTGACGGTTAAGCCGAAAGCACGTAAGTGCAGTCGAAAACCAACCGAGTACTCCAATGTCCTGTTTAAGTCCGAACTAGGCTATGATGTTTATCTTAATGTTAATATCTGTCAGCGTACAAGCGTAACAAAAAGCAGTCATCCAAGGCAAAGGATACAAGAATAATTATCACCTGGCTAAATCCATCTGGCCATGTAATTGACACGGCATAGTTTCCCATAGGTCGAATTTCTTCAGGTTCGATATCTTCCGGAATGTCAGTGTACTGCAGCTTTTGCTCCCCGGTCCATTCATCCTGTTTTAAACCAAGAAAAAGAAGAAAATAAAGATGAAATAGAAGTTAAAAGTTCAAACTTCTGGTGACAGGTTGACAGCTGAGTTCCACCACATGGGCAGACTTTTAAGGCTATGCATATTTTCTTCTTAGAAAGTGACAATTTGTTTGCTCTGATCATTAGTCAAATGGTCTATAGAATAGCATTTAGATTGCTCGAAAGAAACACTTCGTTAGCTGAAAATCGTCGTTCCACTGTTCTAACAAAGATTTTTGATTGCTTCTACCATCTAGATTAATCTATGGACTATGCTAAGCCTAAAAATTCTAAGAATGTGCAGTGGACTTGAGAGTTTCTTTTGCACCAGATCTACGGAAACGAGACATGATGCTGTACTTGCAAATAATCTGTTAGACAATTCTGAAGCACCACACACACACGAACACAGATGTAGAAAAAACATACTTACCACACTTTGAGCTGAGCGGTCATTCCGTCTTACTGTTGCAGGATGTAGAAGGAATTCTTCCTCTGAATCGGGTACCTTAACCTTTATGGCCTTGATGGATTTGTCATAGGTAACTGCTGTTGATACTAGAACCAGAGGAGAAAAATAGAAAAAGAAAACGCATTTTTTTTTTCAGCAAGAGCAACTCGAAAAATATCAAGTATCGGAAAAGCAAAAGATAATGCAAGTACCTTGCTGGCGAATCTTGGCGCACTGTTGCACGACACATACTCCAAGGTCTTGAAACGTCTTGGCAACTTCACCTTGAGGTTCAGCAACCACTTCAGGCGTTCCACTATCACCAGAAGCAGAAAGCTGCAGATATTAAATGTAATAAACTATAAACTTGAATAGGACTTCCAGCAAATTCAACACATTCTTTTAAAATGCTTATAAGTAAATAATAATAGGATTTAGTTAAAAAGAAGCACATCAATGATAATAGATAATTAAGTCCTAAACTTTGCATATAAGGGTCTTAATGCTTAAATACTAAGATTACTAGCCGTGCGTCGTGAAAGTGCAGAGGAAAAGCCGATGCAGTGATGTTTTCTAGCCAATTAATAACAGGACTAGTCTCAAGTATGCAACAGAAAATCAAACTTTACATAAGCATGAACAGAAATCATAGGACATACAGTTGGTCTAAT